CTGTTGATTAGGGCCGGAGGAAAGTATTGTTGGGTTGGTTACCTACCTACGTTTTCCCTCCCACCCACCCCTTGCATGCATCCCGGTTCGGTACAGTGCCACGTCAGCAGTGCCAGATCAGCAGTGCCACGTCACAGTGCCACGTCACAGTGCCAGGTCACAGTGCCACGTCAGCAGTGCCACGTCACAGTGCCAGATCAGCAGTGCCAGATCAGCATTGCCAGGTCACAGTGCCACGTCAGACTCAGTGCCATGTCAGCAGTGACGTCAGACACAGTGCCACGTAAGCAGTGCCACATCAGCAGTGCCACGTCAGACAGTGTCACGTAAGCAGTGCCACATCAGCAGTGCCACGTCAGACAGTGCCACGTAAGCAGTGCCACATCAGCAGTGCCACATCAGCAGTGCCACGTTAGACACAGTGCCATGTCAGACAAAGTGCCACGTCAGCAGTGCCACGTCAGCAACATGACGGGCCTGCCAGGCCAACTGGCCAATGAGCCCATTGTCGACTACAAAAAGCGCGTCCATGCTCAGCTCGCTGCAATCGAGGCTGAGAAACAACTCCAGCTGGCAGTCAAGGCTGCCCAGCTACAGGCGGATGAAGCGGCAACAGCAGAGAAGCTGCGGCTACAGGCCGAAGCAGACGCAGATGCCCAGGCTCACCGCAAGGAAGCCCAGGCTCTGCTGCAGCGGCATGAAGCCAACAGCATCGAGAAACTCAAGTACTGGCACTTTGAGCCGAACGGCGACAAGCCAACACCGGAAGAGCATCATAAGGAGTTCATGGCCAAGCTCGTGAGCAGGTTGGTTTACACATGTAACCACCTACAGTCCGAGCTGGCAAACCTTCAGCGGGCCGTGCGGAACCATAAGATTCAGCACGAGGATGCCACACGGGCACTGGACGCCCGTGTACTGGGCTTGGAACAGGCTGTGCCAGGACCAGATGCTGGCTTCGAGCAGTGCATCCTCTAGCCGCCAACAGGAGGAACGCGTTGACCACGTCGTGGCAATGCTAGGAGACATAAGTGTCTTCACAGAGCCGGCCACCATCAGCCAGCGGTTCGAGTTGCTGGACACTAAGATCAGTCAGCAACAGCAGACTGACCACAGCCACAACAACAGCTTGGCGAGGCCATACAAGATGCCGACATTCCGGATCGAGAAATTTGATGACTACACACATCAAGACCCGGTCGTCTGGTGGCAAGGATTTACAACGGAGTTGGGGATTCACGAAGTCCCTGACCATCTGTTCATCAGTGCTCTGTTCATCAACACCAAGGGAGGTTGTCAGATCTGGCTCAGCCACATGGCAACCATCCACGGCGTCCAGGTTTCAGACCTGTACAAGAAGGTCTCCTGGGAAGACATGACAAAGGAATGGAAGAAGCGGTTCATCGTCGAGGACGCCCCGACACTCGCCGTCAACCGCATCTTCACGATGGCTCAAGGGAGCACACCGACACGTGACTGGCTCACGGATTGGCAGAAAATCGTGGCGACGCCCGATTTGGACTTGTCATTTCCGCATCTGCGGCGTGAGTTCTACAACAGGTCATGCGCCGCTCTCAGCCTCGCACTTGGTGATCACGAGCAGTACAACACTTTCGCAGAGATCATCAACAAGGCGAGAGAGCTCATCAAGACTAACAGGCCGGCTGCACACGAGAAGTCCACGTAGCAGCCAACCTATGTGGAGAAGGCACGAACTGGTCCGCGACAGCAGCACTTCGCTGCAGTATAGCAGGACAGTGGAGATAACCCAGCAGCCACTCCAGCATCAAGTGACGGAGATCAGGTGGCTGCTGTCCAGCCGCGAAGCCACAACAAGTCCCGCAACAATGGGAAGGCGAAATCCGCATCGCAGGCAGGAAATGGACAGCCAGTACAAGTTCCATGGGTCAAGTTTGGCTTGACCGAGATGTGCGACCCCGCCTCAGCTCGGGAAACTGAGCTCCACGAAAGGTGAGGCGACTCCACCTTCTACTCCGCCAGATTCGGTCGCCTTGCTAGCGGCCTCCTGCACATCTCGGGAGGATGCGAATGTCGCAAGTCCTCGGTATACTTACGAGGATTATGCTGTCCACTTGGTTCCACCGCTGGACCAACCGGTCCACGTGCAACAACCTACCGCATGCACGTTTTCATCACCATCGGCAACCGATTTGGCAGCTTCGCCGCCATCTATCGTCGGGGATTCATCGTCATGGTCAAGACTTGAGGTGCTCGACCCATTGACGTTCACGGACTTCCAGTGGATGCCCGTTCCCCCGACCGGACGATTGTCGAAACCGCATTGCAATGTGCTCATGGCACAACTGCGAGATTACGTGCACACTGCAGTACCGACTCCGTTGATGGACGCCGGAGTAGAGGTTGTCGACCTTCACGTTTACATCGTGAAGATCGACCGCGAGTTCAAGACGCAACGGTACGACGACATCGACGCACCATTGCTATACGTACGCATTTAGATCGGAGAGGCGACTTGTAGTGCCTTGATCGATTGCGGAGCATCTCGCAACTACATCAGCCAGGACTTCATGGTGCGCGCCGGCCTTGGCCCACGTGTCCGGAGGAAGCCCCAGCCTACGCAAGTCACATTGGCGGACGGTCACACGCACAAGTCAATCGACCGGTGCATTGACAGCGTCCCAGTGTACTTTGCCCCTCAGGCAAGTGAGGCGGTGTCCTTTGACATTCTGGACACCAAATTCGACATGATCTTGGGCATGTCATGGCTGCGAAGCAAGGATCACCTGGTGAACTTCTTCAACCGCACCGTTCACGTTTGTGACTGGAACGGAGTATTAGTTCCATGCACGGTGCCTCTTCCTCATCCTTCGATCAGTTGCCACGTGGTATCCGCCGCAAGCATGCGAGCTTCCATCATCAGAGACGACATCGAGGAGATG